CAAATGTGACTTAGAAAAATTCAAAGTTTTGCCAATTTACTAGGGGGTGATTATTTGTATTATTGCAGCGGTCCTTCAAAATACGAAGCTTCTTAGCAGGTAAGTGTACACAGACCCTTTGACCATACAACAGAGGGCTAGGGAAGAGAACATTAACTTGTTACAAGTTACTGTAATGACCATGTATGCATGTCAGTAGGAAAGCAGAATTCAATAAATAACAATTTTCGTTTATGGAACTTTTTCCAGGAAAAACTTTATCATATAAAGAGAGGAATTTCTGCAACATCTACACTGTGATCAATGGCTCCTTTGTGGGCTGAGTGACAGCCTGTCTAAGTTTCCAACTCCTGGTCCTAAAGTGACCTGAGCAGTAGGGAGCTGTGAGGACAGCTTTTGGGATAACTCCACAACAGCTCTGAACTATCTGCTGTTAAGAGTATGCCAACTGCATAATCAACCATAATCATGGCAAGGAATATACTTAGAACAGAAACCCTGTTGGTATTTAGCTGAACTAAAAATGAGAAAGTAACCATCCATTCCCCCCATAGTGTAAATTGTGTATAATGAGAGTTCTTATTTGCATTTTTCATAAAACTCACCAAACTCCTTATTCACTCATTACTTACCCATTATGGGTTTTTTAAATGGCACTTTTAAGGTTTGCTTTGGCTCAGAGTGAATTATTTGCCAAGATTTTATTCCTGGAGTCATGAATCCCCTGAGACTTCTTTACCTTTTGCAATTCATAGCTCATTTTGTGGGTCCTAGTGGTTTGTGGTCTCTATGTGTACATGTGTGGGCATGTGTGGGGAGCAGTCTTAAGATATCCTAAGTAGTGAAACATTTCATAAGAAAGGGTCCTATATCCTGGAGTAATTAAACAAAAAAAAAAGAAAAAGCAGAAAATGAGTAAAGAGTAGTTTATAAAAGTAGCAAACATTAGGTTACCTCCTTGTAATTATGCATATGCTTGGATAATCTATTGATTTAATAGGTGGAAGAAGTGTGTGTTACAAAAATTCACTGAGTGTTTGGATATCAAGAAGCACAAATACAAAAGTACATGAAAAGGTAAAATGAGGCAAAGCTGCCTCTGAGAGTAAAAATTTTAGTGAACTTTAATAAACCACTAAATGCAATGTTAGATAAACATGAGCAGAGGAAAACATTTTTGTGTGCATACTTTAAAAAAAAATGGTGTCTCCAAGACCAACATTACTATTGTAGGGGAAGAACTCGGGGCACAAGGCAAGTTGGCTACAGACATTTACCAACCAAGAGGGCAAGGAAAATTCTCCCTGCTCCCAGATCTCTTTGCAGCTTACCACCAGACCTTGGCTAGAAATGTCTTCTAATACAGTCCTGAATGAGCTGAAGAGTAAAGGTGGGAGACATTATCTCAGAAATGAAATATATTGCTTCTTGGAATATTAGAAAAGTAGTTTTTAGATTCATAGAGATTACTAGCTAGAAGAGATCATCCCAATATATATATTTAACAGATGTGACAATTGTGTCCCCTACACAATAAGCAACTGGCCCAAGATCACATAGCAAATTATTGGTATAAAAATGTTGATTTTCTTAACATAATAAAATAAATAAATAAATAAAAATTTAAAAAATGTTGATTTTCAACTCTCCACGTAGAGGTTTTTTTTGCACTACTGAGCACTCCCTGTAATCAGAAGGGGTAAAAGAGGGGCCTGGTACATTTCACTGCAGGGATAAATTCCAGTATTTGGGACAGCATGAGAACTGGGTGGGCCATAGACCGAATGTCTAGGGACTGGGGCATTCTGGATTTGTGCCTGGACACAGAAGTTGCTATTTTGCCTAATACTGGCTTAAATGCCAAGGACAATTTAATGACATCAATATACCATCATATAGTAGCTTGCTCTTCTACTGATATACTTAATCTGCAGGTAAGTCATATCCCTAGTGAAATACTATGTCTCCTCTACTGAAAAACAGAATTGCATCCCGACACGAGCTTAATGCTACAGCTTATCATTCACTCACAAGGAACAAAAACATTGGATGTTTTTATAAGACAGTCATTTGTGTGTTTAGATATTATTCTGGGTTTTATGAGGGGGAAATTGTCACCCTGTTATGAAGCTACATCCATTTCAATTTTGCATCAAGCTAATGTGTATTGATGGAAACCATGTTAAGCAGAACAAGAAGTAAATATTCTCTACCACCACAAATTGATTACAAGTGGCCTAAAGTAGTTCTCAACACTTCCATTTCATTTGGGAAGTGAATTTACACCTTTGAAAATATTATTATTTCTCCTTAATTTGTCCCAGTGATTTTTGGGATTTTAACTGGCCTTCGAATATATTTAAAAATCAAATAGGTGAAATTTCTTCTGAAGGAATACCAAACTACAGCTTTTTTTTTTCCCTAATAATTACAAGCTCTCAGGTTTTCATTTGGTTTTGAATTTCCTTTTTGAGGATGTCTTTGTATTATGTGATGTTACCTCCTGATGTTTAGTTTTATTGGGATTTCTTGGAAAAGTATAATAAAAATTAATAATAATGGACATGATTAAATGGGTGTCAAGACAAAGCGATCATGTTGTTTCTCATGTAATTATAATGGAAGAATTCAAGTTAATTTGCTTATTTTAGCATAATGAATATGTGATTCCAACAGTTTAAAAGCTAAAGTCTTTAGCAGGTAGAGGACAATGAAAAAAAAAATCCTCACATCACAAGAAAACCCTGGATATTAATCAGTTTGTTTAACCAGATGAACAGTTGTATACATAACGTGCTAACATTTCTTAACAAGTAGATTTCTGTAAACAAACTGCTTCCAAAAATATTTTATGAGCTGTCATTAACTTCGGAGATGTTTTTCTAGGTTGGCAACCTTGGTGATCCATCTCGCAAAAGCACGGCTGGAATGGAGAGACCCCTGAAATTGCTAAGTGAGGAGAACTGAGAAGGGTCCTGTGAAGTCATGACCCTTGAAAGGTGTTGGTTTACAGAGTGTGAAGCAGGCAATTCCCTAGCTGCACCCAGGAAGAAGCAGCGCTGGACGGGCCGGTGGCTAGTAGGGAGCAGTGCTTTGAAGGACGGGTGGATCCCACCGCCGCGTCAGACTCACAGTTAGTTTGCTCGAAGTTCTATGATGGGGGAAAACTCCTTAATTTGGACAACAGTTCAATATTTCAACAGAAGATTCTTAAACTAAAAAGCAATTAATTACCCCCCCCTTTTTTTTCCCCGGGACTGTTTTTTTAGGGCTCCAACTAGAAGGACAAATTCACTAAGGGTGACGCTCAGAATCTGAGGCACAAGATCTTACGGAAAGGCTGTCCATTCCAGATGCCCTGCTGGACTGCCTGGCCTTTGGGTGTGGGTGCCGAGAGCTGCCTGCCGAGCGGCTGCAGGAGCTCGGCTCTATCACTTTCCTATGGGGCTCACAGCACAGAATTTGTGCCACAGGAGCTTAGGTAAGCTGAAAAGGCCAAATAAGCAACTGCGGGGCAAGAGCAAGAAGTCAGACTCCAAGAGTTTTAGGGTTTTTTCTTCCACATTATTATTGTTGTTGTTGTCATTATTGTTATTTTAAAGATTTTATTTATTTGACAGAGAGCGCACAAGCAGGGGGAGCGGCAGGCAGAGGCAGAGGGAGAAGCAGGCTCGCTGGGCAGGGAGCCCGATGCGGGGCTCGATCCCAGCACTCTGGGATCAAGACCAGAGCAGAAGGCAGATGCTTAACTGACCCAGGCATCCCTCCTCCACATTATTATTAACCATCTATTTTCTTAACAATGTCACAACTATTCTTTTGCTTCACTTTATCTATATAATGGATCCACTCACTTTAATTCCCTTGTTTTCAAACAAGTAATGGTGGAAGAGAAATGCTGATAAGCATTTTTAAAGGTCTTTGACTTCCTCAGAAAAAAAACCCCTGAGGAAAATATTTAGAGACTCAGGAATACTGGGTCAAAAATCTCTAAACCTTCATCCCTTTAAAAATAGCTTTTTAACGTGAAACATATTAGTGTATTGTACGTGTGCGCGTGCAGATATATTATGTATATGCCTTTTCTCTGATCACGAAGTAAAGAACAAAAATCCTGAATTACGGAATTCAAGGTCTCAATGTTTAGCGAGATATGGATGCTATAGATAAGCCATTTCCCTTAATTTGTAGTTTTGGTTTTTTTTTGTCTCCTACTTCGCTTTGAATGACACTCTCATACTTCTGTTCTGCAGCAGCAGTACAACAAGACCTTTTTGAAGTTTAAATGCATGACACCCTTTGTAGAACAGTGGCGACCTGATCATAACAGTGATCAAGCAGAAATGCTTTTTTTTTTTTCTGATAAGCAGGGCCAAAGTTAGTCTCTTTCTAAGTAGAATGAACTCCCTCCCTCCCTCTCTCTCTCTCTCTCCCCTTGTATTCAGAGTGGAGATTTTTCTTCTACCCCCAACTAATAAAATCGGGAGGCTGCAATGAGGCTGAGCGGCAAGCAGTTTGATGTCCTCAGCAGGATACGAGGAGTCAGAAGTGGCGCTGTAAATCCAGAGCGGGGCTTCAACACTGTGTTAAGTGTGGCCTGAGTCTCAGAGATTTCCTTTTGATGCAAGTTCAGTATATTAATGGGAAAAGCATTCACTTTTATTTGTCTGTACTGTCTGCGACAGCAAGGCTGCCTCATTTAGCCTGGGCCAATGTGAAAATACACAGAGAAGCAATCTGTTGCAAATTAGCACAGCTCCCCTTTCATTTACTAGCTAGTAATTGGAAGGGGTTAAGAAAGTGTAACTTATCAGATCACGTGAGCTATCTGCTTGTGTGGATTTCCCCCGTGAGCCCCCAGGCAATAATCTTTCCTCAATGTCCACTTGGTCTGAAAGAAAATCCTGATGCGTGTAAAATGCGCTCCCTCGGTGAGCTTTGACAAGGCAGTTTCCCCGATTCCTGAAAGAGGTATTGATACGACTCCATTAGAACCTTACCTTTCTTTAGATAGAGTTTTACTCTCCCGCTTCCAAATGGTCTTGAAGTCAGTGCAGAATTCGTACCATACCATAAACACATAGTTGGGTGTGATTTCCTTCTCACCGGACTTTGGCTTCATCCCAAAATATCCTACTGTTGTTTCAAAACTGCAACAGGTAGGGGGAAAAAAACAGAGTGAGATGGGGGGTGAGAAACTGTCCATACCCTCAGGGCAGGATTGCTGGGGGGCGGCGGGGGGAGGCATTTACCATATATTCATTCTCTAAGACAGAAGCCCAGCCTCATAGTGACTGTGGCTTATCCCGAGCCTCAGAAAACCTATTTACTTAAACCACTTCTCCAAGAAATTCAATCTGATACTCCTGGTCACATCTTATGTATATAAAAATGAGCATGTCCGATTCCAGGCGGTATGCCGGTGAAGCTATGAGTTTGCTCTTCATCTCAAATCCACATCATTTGCCAGCTCTTCATATTATGTTTAATGAGTACATGGACATATAATGATGACATATTGATTCTGCAGCCTTAGCAGTGGTCAGTTAGACAGCCCATCAGGAATAATTAATCTATTGAGCACTTCATGGAAAATCCAGAGACTATTCTATCCTTATTCTGCCATCCGCTGGCTTTTTGATCTTGGGTCAGTCACTCAGCATCAGACTTTCCGTTTTCTCAAGGGTAAAATAAGACTTAGAATAGGTGATCTCTAAGAAGGTTACATTTTAAAGCTTGATATGCTATAAGAATACAAACCACCGAGGCATAAAAAGAGATAGAACCAAAGGCACGGCAAGGTTTGGGTGAAAAACCATCTTTGATCCTGGAAAGACGATCTCTAATCTGGTCAGGAAAGGATCCAGGTTTTCCAAAGTCGATTCTCAGGCATTGCTCCGAATCTCCTGACCTACCCCATGGAGGCTCACTGCACACCAGACTGCTACAGGCCTCCCAAGCAGCCCTTCTTGGAGGCTCTAGCTTTGTAGCGATTTATAGCTCTGCACTTAGGCCCCCACCCCCAACCTTCACCCACCCAAAGCCTCACAAGCTCATTTGCCATGAGCAAGAACACTTAAATAAATGGCCCCTTTTTCTAGGGTGTTGGAAACTAATGAAAGCAGGAATGGCTGGCCACATTTACTACTCAGTGCTCTATCATCTGTTCAGACACAGTGGGTTTTTTTTTTTTTTTGTGGCCATCCTGAATCCTGAGTTTCTAATGGAGCTCCATTCAATGGCAATTGTAAAACCCTGAAGCCCCGTCACTATTATGGAGAATACTTTCATCTCGTTCTCAGTTATTGGGCAATATGTATCTCATAAGATTTTATCACATTTCACAGATGAACTGTTAATTGATTCCATGGCTATGATTAGGTGAGATCCAAGCTGGAGCTGCAACTCTGAGTCCCATAAATTCTTTGTGCTTCTGTAAATAATAAATCTGTTTTTAATGCAAATTAAAACTACTGGCCAGGGAATTTTGGCTCCCAGTTATTAAAAGATTGGAAGTGCATAAGTGGAGAAAGGCAATAACTGCAATCATTTCTTAAGGGACTCTCTTCTAATTCCAAACATACATAATTTGGAACAAAACCAGTAATGGAAGAAAGTCGCAATGTCAGGCGACGCCTAACTCTGTGGCAGTCAAAATACTGATAAAACCAAATGTACTACGCTCTATGGCATACACTTTTATTTCATTCAAAATGAAAATTATATTGACTGTGGTGTGGAAATACACAAGTAGAGGGTTATGTAACCGATGGGAAGAGGCCATGAATTTCTTATAGAGTCATGGGGCTTTAGAACCGGAAGGGATGTAATAGGTCAACTCATTCAAGGTTCTCATTTTAGAGATGAGAAAACAGAGACCTGATTGAATGACTTTATTCAATGGCAGCGTTGGGCCTACCACTCGGGTCCCCCAGTTCTCAGTGAAATGATTTTTCCACCCTTCTGTTGCTCGTGCTCATCAACACAGGCATTTTTCTTTTCTTTCTTTTTTTTTTTTTTCTGTTTCCACTTTAGACACAGTTGCCCCCCAGGAGCACCCCCCCAGCAGAGCACATCATCATCGTTTTTCTCTTCCTTATGGTTACCTTTGATACAGAAACATACTTATTTGTGCATTAATAGAGAAGAGAAAGTCTTTCCCTCTTAGTATTCAGAGGAGCAAATGATTTCCCAGCAGGATATAGTGAAGAGGACAGAAACTCCAGTCCCTGTGCCTCACGGATCACCTCAGCAGCCCTCGCAATATCTGGAGTCTAGATCCTGAGACCCAGAGGCTGCAAGTACCAGTGACTGTTCATAGAATGCCAGTATTGTTCAGTAGGTTATCACAGAGCTTCAGAAAAGCATATCGTCATCCTGGAGGCCTCACTTTTCCCAGCCTACACTGGAGCTAACCATGTACCCTCACCACCTCTCACCCTGGGGGTTTGTGAGGCCTTGCTTGCTAACCCTCGAAGGGGACAGAGACTAAAGGAAATACTGAATTTCAGCATTCCCTCCCCGCCCTCCCCCATGTGTTTTAGAAACTAAGAAAGCAAGTGAACCTCTTCAGAAGAACCAGAGCAAAAACAAAGTCCCAGGGGATGGCCTGGCTTTGGCACTCTGCAACTTCGACAAAGAGGAAGTTGCTCTGAGGATGTGCCTTATTTGACATCGGGGTTATCCCTTCGTTCAAGGAGAAGCTAAAGGGCTAGAATATGAGCCTATGACTGCTTCATAAGGTCTAGACTACTGTCCTCCTGAAAACTGCTGATATTTAACAGCCAGGCTAATATTCTCCAATGGACAAAGGGGCCATCGTGCTTTCTGAAATTTCTATTTGTCAGCAGATAACTCTCAAATAGCTTTCAACTTTTAGAAGATTGATTTCTAATCATATGTTATGTTTCATAAAACTTCTTTCCTTCGCTCTATTCCCTTTTTTTCCTCTCTGCTCCAATTCCTTATCTGATTCCTATCTTTGTAATTCAGCTAAATGTTTTTAAAGCACAGACAATGACGACACTATCAAAGAGCTGGTAACAACGTTAGCTGTTTTACTTTTTAGTGTTGAGGTGCCAAAGCAGGACACGTCCCCTTACTGTTTCACATGCATGCCTTTAGAAACTGCTTAGGAAAAGCAAACATGTCGTGGCCTCAGAGTAAATTGTTTCTCTTGAGAATAAAACAGAAGAATTTCCTAAATCTCACACAAATATTGCAACACTGACCACCAACCTCCTTAAAAAGTGCAAGCAAACAACTGTGCTTTCTACATTAAAGATGGGATCTAACATATTTCATGTATGACATGAAAGCTACACTACCTTCACCACAAAGTCACGGAAAACGCTGACAACCAAAATTTATGACCCCCCTCAGCATAGCTAATGCACAGCAGCAGCTTCGGCCCCTCGAAGGTGGGCCCCCTTTTCCTTCAGCAAGAAGCTTAAGAAATATTAGAAATTTGACATCCACCCTGGAAACCCAAATTTCTGTTTGACCTGACACCAAGGTGTGGATGTCTTTTCGGAATGTAACATAGACATATTTGTTTTATACATGGAGGAAGGGAAAACTTAATATAGGGATAAGGCCAATCAAGGGGCACAAAAATCTTTAAAACCATCATCGTGGGATTGCTTTGGTTTTTAAAGATGATCATGCTTACTTGATAATCCTGACTCAAGAACATGTCTGCAATTAGAAAAATGCAGGATTTGCCTCAACCTCACTTTCATCTGCATTTTAATTTGATTGGCAGTTGGAAGCAGGGCAAGATGTTGGCGCCCGCCAAAGCAGAGCTGACAGCGCTGTCTGTAGGCTTTAAGAACTCTTGGAAATTGTGGCTAGACAGGAGGAAACGGTTTGTTTCTAGAGTTTGTTCAGTTGCATTTAATTAACTCCTCTCCTCACACATTTGTAAAGTTTGTTGTCCTTATAGGCTACTTCCTACCCCTACCTCTCATTTAACTTTCTAGTCCTTCTAGAATTAACACCAGCAAAATGTATCTCGGTTCTCTGTGCTGAAAATGAGAATGCCTCAGTATATTCTCACTCACCCTTTTAAGAGTAGAGGCATAGCCAAGCTGACTAACCTGGTCAGCAGACAAAAATAAAATCCTCTATCAGGGACCAGAGCCACTGATTACTGGGTGAACTGGATGGTTCCATTCTGCTGTCTATTAAGAGAGAGAAGAGCAAAGAAGAGGCCTGAAGTGGGTGACAGGTAGAACAGAAGACTCCTGAGGTCTCTTCCAATTTCGGAGGCACTTTTTATATATAGGGGTCAGTCCCTCCTCCCCACTTGCCCCTTGTTTACCGTATCCTCTCAGATCTGAGGAAAAACATAATAAGTCTCTTAGATGTTTGCCATAATTGGTTTAATCTAGTTGTAATGCTAAGAAGGATCACGTTGTTCCTAACTTCCATAAAGTGGCTCAGGAGCAGAGAAATGGAGGAGAGGCAGAGAGTGTCATGACGTGATGCTTGTCAATCACTTCTCAATGGTTCTGTGCTCTTTGAGGAGAAATGTTTCCAAGTCTTATCCTAGTGCTTTCCCTTCAGCTCCCGATAGAATCTTACTGCTCACGGATGTATAGTCTCAACAAATGGGGCCGAAAGAATGGCTAGTCAGACATCATGCTAAGTAAAATAAGCCAGTCATAAAATGAAAAATGCTGTATTGATTCCACTTATATGAGGTATCTAGGGTAGTCAAAGTCACAGAGACAGGAAGTAGAATAATGGTTGCCAGGAGCCGGGGTAAGGGAGGAGAATGGGGGAGTTATGGTTTAATGGGTACAGAGTTCTATTTGGAGATGAGTTCGTTCTGAAGACAGACGGTGGTGATGGTTGCAGAGCAAAATGACTGCACTTAATAATAACACTCATAAAAAGGAACAGCTAGCCAAAGAAAGGACTAAGGCCAAGTCAGAGCCACTTACCTTTTCTGTGCATTCTCCAAGTGACTTTCTTCCATTTTATGCTCATTTTTGGCTGTGAACGAGAAATAATTATCATTAAAACAGTGTTTTCTTCCATCGTATCTTTTGGCTAAATCTTCTAACTTTGATTACACCCATGGGTTATCAAAATAATTCTGAATGCAGGGGTTGGCAGCCCCTACCGCATGTCCTGGAGATAGTTCTCAACTGGCTACATCTCCCACCCTTGCTTTCTTGAGAATAGCTAGAGCTAATGGTGGCCATATAATTTACTGTTCTCACTGGGACACTCTTGAGAGTGAAAGAAGGTGATAACTAATAATTACATCTGGACAAAAACATAAATTGGAGCAATCCTGGACAGATTGGTACATGTGGTCACCCCAGCTACAGCTGGCCTCTTTGTGAGCTTTGGCACATACTTGGTTGGCACTCTCCCCTCCCTTCCCCAAACATCAGAAACCCAGAACCATTTACAGCAGTTCTGCTCGGGTTCACACAAATTCACTGGAACACTTGCACACACTGTCTCTACACCCAGAGGCTCCTTTGGCAGTCTGGGGAAGCCTATGGTCTCCTTTCTCAAAATACTGTTTTTAAATGCTTTGAAAAAAAAAAAATACTTAAGACTACTAAGGAAATCCATGATACTGAGATACAACACTGAATTTATAGATCAAGAACCAGTGTTCTGTAGGAACTATTTATTTAGGAGCTTTCATTTTTGGGTGGTGCTTTTACATATCATTCTCTCTAATCAGAAGATATTATTATACATGATAACAACACTTCTTCACTTTAAAAATGTCTAGAAAAATAGGCAAGTCATAATCTCCATAAGCCTTAAGGTTTCTTCCATTTAAGGCTACAATGATATAAAATGAACAAGAAAAGAAAATCAGTCTTATCTACTAAGGCCTATGATGTGATACTTCATGAAGATATTAAAGGATTTTTTTTTTAAAGATTTTATTTATTTATTTGAGAGAGAGAGAAATTGCACAAGCAGTGGGGAGAGGCAGAGGGAGACAGAGAAGCAGACTCCCTGCTGACCAGGGAGCCCGATGTGGGACTTGATTCCAGGACCCTGGGATCATGACCTGAGCCGCAGGCAGATGCTTGACCTACTGAGCCACCCAGGCATCTGATACTAAAGGATTTAAAAATACCACTATTTTACTAAGCTTAGCTCTGCCATGTACTACCTGTGTGACTGTGGTCAATTTACTCATGACCAACTGCATAGTTATGGACTCATCTGTCCTATACAAATAGCCACAGTGACTACCGTCATACTACATCATACAAGATTAAATTAGATAACATATATCAAGTGCTTGGCACACAATATATGATCAATAAACGACATGAAAGGTATCATTAATACCTCATCATCAATTTCATCATTGATTTTACTGATCAGCACGGGAGTTTTGACCTGCTCCGTTTCCGACCTGGGCCGGTTCACCCCTCCTTAGGCAACCTGGTGGTCCCCCGCTCCCGGGAGGTCACCATATTGATGCCGAACTTAGTGCGGACACCCGATCGGCATAGCGCACTACAGCCCAGAGCTCCTGGGCTCAAGCGATCCTCCTGCCTCAGCCTCCCGAGTAGCTGGGACTACAGGCATGCGCCACCGCGCCCGGCTCATCATTGATTTTAAAACGTCAATTTTATCAAGTTACTCCTCTACTCAAAACCTTCCAAAGGCTTGTCATCACCTTTGATATAACCTTTAACATCTTCACAATGTCCCATGAGGCCCTGCAGTTCCGCTCACTGGCTCCTCTGTGACATCACTCCCTTGCTCCCATGCTCATTTCTTTCCAGTCTCTCTGTCAGCTTGCTGATGCTTGAGCACACTGAGCATGCGCATTAAGGGGTCTCTGCACTTGCTGCACCCTGCCCACAGTCTGTGCATGACTGGCTCCCTTACTGTTTTCAGGTTTCAGCTCAGATATTACCCTCTCTGACTTCACTTAATAAAAGATCACCCCTTGCTACATATCCCCATCCCCTCCCTCAACTCTCTCAACCTCCACACGTTACCTTTTTTCCTGCCCAGCCTCTATCTACCTGGCAGACTATTCGTTTTCTCATGCATTTATTATATGACAATTGAAGGTAAGCTCAAGGAGAGAAGCAACTTCAGCTGGCTTGTTTTCTGCTGAGCCTTAAACACAGGAAGGGTGCCTATATATTAAACAAGTTATTTTAGTTGAAAAATGCATATGCTGGACAAATGTTGCTTCAAAAGAAAGATACTAGGTTTCCTAAAAAGAAAACTTGGTATTTTTTAATTAATTAATTAATTAATTAATTAATTTACTTACTTACTTATCAGAGAGAGAGAGAGAAAAAACACAAGCAGGCGTAGTGGCAGGCAGAGGGAGAAGCAGGCTCCCCACTGAGCAAGGAGCCCAATGTGGGACTCGATCCCAGGACCCTGGGATCATGACCTGAGCCCAAGGCAGATGCTTAACCGACTGAGCCACTCAGGCATCCCAAAACTTGATATTTAGAATACAAACATAGACTAAATAAGAATGTCAGGCTAAAGTTATATACTATTACCTCGAAGTCCAATAAGTGTCAATTAACAAAAATGATTTTTTTATGTTAAAATAATTCTGCTTTGGGTGCCTGGGTGGCTCAGTCGTTAAGCGTCTGCCTTCGGCCCAGGTCATGATTCCAGGGTCCTGGGATCGAGCCCTGCATCGGGCTCCCTGCTCCGCGGGAAGCCTGCTTCTCCCTCTCCCACTCCCGCTGCTTCTGTTCCCTCTCTCACTGTCTCTCTCTCTGTCAGATAAGCAAATAAAATCTTTAAAAAAATAATTCTGCTTTGATAATGACATCATTTTAGGTAAAAATTTGCAGTATGATTTTCCCCATCCTCCTCGTAGGAGTCTCTGTGAATTCGTCTCGTTCTTAGCCAGTCAGACACAGAGAAGTGACTACTACCAAGTCCTCCAAAATGTGAAACAAACAAGTAGTTTGTTCTTAGCCAGTGATTCTTAATTGTGTACATGGCCAAACACAAGGAAAAATTCCTTTGAGGCCTGACTGATCTTCCTGGAGCACCTTTGCTGTTCTCCCTCACCAGGTGGTTTCTAACTGGCTCCTTCCAGGCGGTAAGTAGAACTATAAAGCGGTCGTTGCATATAAATTCACTGACGAGAAATACTCTTTCCACAAGGAATTAAGCATTCAGTAAGATTTTGGAATGGCTCTCTAAATATGGGTATTTGGGGAAAAAAAAAAAAAAAGCATCCAAAATTTAAAAAGAGGTGTTACTAAGAGGCCCAATGCATACTGTAGAACTTCTGAGGGCTTGGGAGGAAAGAGCCTTCAGGAAAATGAGAAGAACCTAGAGATCTTATTTTTTCCTAAGCAAAGGGCCTACGTACAGAGAGAAAAGGCAGCCACTTCCATGGTGTGACGTGGAAGCTCTACCAGCCTAAAATATTTCTCCCATCAAAACGTGTGACATTTCTGACTATGTCATTATACGTTTTCAGTCTTCAAAGTGCTCTAAGCAAAACAAAAACACATTACCTGGAAGGAAAATGTTTAAAGACTGGAGTCACAAACTCAAATTCTAGTATCAGCAGCAAATAAGGCAACTGTAGGCCAAGTAAAAGAATCCTAATATTCTAAAATTCTATCTCTTGCTTCTCAATACTGGAACTGACAGTCTCGGTGTAGGGAAGCCAACAGGCCGTGGTAGGAAAATGGGAAGGCCACGCCCCATGTGAGGGAGGGAAGGCACTTGCCATTGTTACCAGATCTTCCACCTTTTTCAGAGAAGCTAAGATCTTTGAATGAATGGTCCCGACTTAAAAAAAATTTTTTTTTTTTTCAAATACTCTGTAGGACAAAGGGGACATTCCTGTTGGCCATATCTGGTTCTGCAAGCTCTGACTTAAGCCATTAGTAGCAACTGACATAATGACATAGATAGGTTTGTTCTTTTGTTCCATGTGCCAGACCCTATTCTAGGTGTTTGGGATCCTCCAGTGAAGAAAGCAAAGATCCTTATAGAACTTTCATTCTAGTTGGGGAAGACAGGCAATTAAACCTGAGCAAAAAAGATCCAGTGTAAGTGATTTCTGATAAGGGGTAACAACAAATATTTCCAGAGCATGGCTTGTTGCCTGTAGGACACTTTATATGGATTACCGAATTAAGGTGCCCGGGGCAGCCACAGCATGCCACACAGGTACTAGGCACCCCAAAGGGAGACGATGTCTAAATGGAAGATGGTAAGTCTTAGGTGCAAATTGTCTTTACCCTACAGCTTTGACTAGCAGTGGCCTTGAAAATATGTGTGGGATTTACTTAGTCTTCTATTCTACAAAGCCCCACGGACATTAGCTTTTAGGTGCTTCCTTTTTAGCTTACATTTCCTACTACATGTGTGGTGGGGGTTGGGTAGGCTTCTTAGAAGAGTTAAGTTTGGAGGAGTTGTCAGATACTGACATGGCCCAGGGAGGTAGAGAAATAACAGGCATCCCCAACCTTGCTCTCCTCTCTTCTCTTTCTGCCACAAGAGGCTGTCTCATTGTCTCCAATGAACTAAATATGATGATTTTACAAATCAGAGGAATAAAGTAGTTGCTTAAGATGATGACGGTCTCACATTTTAAGATAATAAAAGCAATAAGGAAAACAAATACTAAAGTACTAAAAATGAGAAGCTTCACTCCACATCAATTCTGTCTTCCGAACTTCTTCATCCAGGCTGTGGACACACTGTAATGATGTGAATTTCTGGAAGTCCTTGGAGAACAGTGAGTGGCAAGTTTGCTTGGCGACCTACCTACGCATACTATAATTTTTCTGTCATTGGTAGAACTGTGTTGCTTTTCTTAAACTCCAACTCTCTCCTTTAAAGAACAATATTTTTCATAATTCTATGTCACAGAGAGAAAGCAACACGACTTCTTTGGAAGACTTTTTGTTTGTTTGTTTAAGAGATATGAGGATTTTATTTAATGCAGGCTTTACTGAATAAAGACCATGTGCTTTTGTGTAAAGCTTTAATACCTTGGA